TGAAAATGTAGAAAAGGTGATAGTCGGTTGGCGAAAGGTCTGAAGAATATGGCGGTTGAGGTAGAACTTCAACCCCCAATTCGTTCAATTTATGGATAGTGATTTGTGAAACGTGTGGGCGGGCGTTGTCATGCAAAGGAATCGGACCCTTCTTTTTGATAAGTGTTGGCTGCATCTGACAAAATTTTCGGTACATTGTCGATTTCTTCACAGTAGGGTTCTGCTGTGATGGTTTGGCCTGGTGATAAAAAGTTAGTAGTAGATTCAGCACCAGCCGAATGACACAAGCGTGACCACCAATTTTTTTTCGTGAGGGTTCGGCTTTGAAAATTACCTCGGTGGTTCGTCGAAATCCAACCTTTGTCCGGAACGTCTCCTTTATCATACATGACCCATTTTTCATTTCAAGATGTGAAAACAACCTCGGTGTCCAAAAACAGGTCGTTTCTGCTGCGCAAAAGCAATGCAGAAGGAACCTCGAGACGTGCCGATTCCTGCCGGTCACTCCGATTGTGGGGCACCCAATTGTCGAGTTTTTTCCTTTCCCGCTGCGTTCCAGACCATCTGCAACAGTGATTTGCCAACGCCTAGCTCTTCTGCTATCTCTCGAACTGTTTGGGATGGGTCAGCCTCCAAAATCCCCTAAAATCCTCGTCAGATATTGCTTTAGGTCGACCGCTATGAGGTTCACTTCAAGGCTGAAATCTCCAGAACGAAATTTGTTGAGCCATTGCCGCACAGTGCTCCAGCACTTATGGGGGCCCCCAACACTTAATTTGTTGAGCTGTTTTCGATCGCGGACTGCCCAGTTATGGTCGACAGAAAAAATCGTCCAAAGTCTCTTTTCAATAATGCTTAAAAAATCTCGAAATAAAAAAGGGGGTTTATCAAGCAATGGTGAAACGCAATTTATACATCAGATAGCGCAAGAAATTCTCTACAGGATGTGCTACTGAGAAGCAAGGCAGAATGAGTTTTTAATCAGCAGTGAATGTACAAAAATAGGTGCACAAAACGCTGAGAACTTTCCGGCACCTAATACACTCGGGGCAAGTGAGCACACTTGGTAGTGTGCAGTATCAGTGTCCCGGTTCATAGTTCTCGGACCAGAACTCAGAGTCATAGCTTCACTAATGGCCTTCCAGGAACGCGGATGCAAAGAACATAAAGAGAACATTCGAAGAACATGGCGACCATAAAGAGGTTAGTTATTGTCTAGTGGTTCACAATTACTCTTTTCACTTGTTTTGCTACTTCAGAACTACTCAATGAGATCTTTTTTAGTTGAATATGTTCGGGTATCGTAACTAAAGGGAGACGTACGATAGATCACGGCGTAGATAGTCACAGGTGAAACGATTTGAAAAGTTATCTTTGAATGCAGACAAAAAAACTCGTTGATTGTCTTCGCGGTATGTTCATCGAGGTACTATGTGTAGTGGGGAACATGCTGACAGGTAACTGCATAGCAGGTATGCAGTAACTGGACAGGGTTTGGAAACTAATAAGGCACAGCTGGAACAACTACAAAAGTAAACAAGCACTGCTTGATCTTCAGTACCTTGGAAGAAGAGTGAGGTCGTTCTATTTCTACGGTGAGCGGGACTAAGATCCAAGGAGAGGCGATTTAGCCCGAAGAGGGGGGAACGGTCATGACAATAGCATATCCGGTAAATCGCGTGGGTCGGTGATAGCGCGGCGTTTTCGGTAACTTGCGTTAGCCCTGCCTATTTGTGATTTTGAAAGATAGCTACAGAGCTTTACTATTTTGCTTGTATTGTTTGCCCCCATCTTATGTCAAAACTGTCGTCATTTGCGGGCGCGACGTCGCACACGACGGCCGCCAGCGGTACCAACACAATTGTCATGTCACATACCCGCCGAACAGAATGGTTGTGAATCTAAATTCTGCTAGTCAAGTGCGCCGAAAAAAAGTGCCGGAGTTCGGAGAACTTGTACCAGGTTCTAGTAGGTTTTCTTTGAGTTATGAGTAAAGGTGCTGGTCTAAGGTTGGACTTGAACCCACAGCTCTTACCGAGCAAACTAGCTGTTCTTTACGGGCTAGAACCGCTCTATCTTTTCACCTTGAGGGTTTCGATGCCACGGGCACAGGGTAATCGGCCCCAGGGTTGATTATGGATTGGAGTTTCGCCCGTAAGCGTGACGTGCGCGGCTCGACCTCGCTTTGGGCAAGTCTTTTTGCCATAGCTCACATTTTTGTTGTTAGCAGCAGGGGCGTACGGTTCTGTTTATGTGAAAACTACGTCTAATTACAAGACACAAAAAAGACTATAGAAGTTTTTTGGCGGCTTCTCTCTTCTTTCGACGATTTTCTGCTTCTTTCTTGATGACTTCTTTCTCCAGATACCATTGTTCCTGCAAAACGCACCATTCCTAAACGTCAAGAGAGCTTAGGCGGTGATAAGAGTGCAATGCTTACCGCGACTTGCTCCTTACTTTTTTGCTGCCTGTCCAACTTTTCTCGCCGAATAACTGCATAGTATCTAAAAGCGTATGTTCACCGGGAGACTTTGCTGTAAATCGCAGAGGTGACTCAAAGTTTATAATTTCAAATGAAGGCTGGTGCACGGCGCATCCATCACTGCCCATGGTCCTGCTTCTTCATAACTCATGGCCATGTTCATGAAAGCATTACCAACGGCTACGTTTGCAGGACATTTTGACTGGAGGGAGAGTTCAAATTTCACAGGAACGCGCGTCGACGCGCTGTGAAGCCCGACGACCAATGTATGGGGAGGTAGGCGGTGCCTCGCTTTCATCATGTCCCCCTAGCGCCCTTATCACTCAATTCCGAACCGCGAAAGTGAGGCATACTCTCTGCTTGCAGAATGAATCTCAGTCCCTGCAAACGTGAGGGCGTATGAGGGGCTTGAATTTTAGAGCAGCCAGAGCGCTTCTGTCCACTAATCGGTGCCTTCCAGACCATGCAACATTGGTGAACTGCGCTCCAAACCACGCCCTTTCACATAACACCTCGTTTACTAGGCTATTTTCAAGTAGGGCACATCAGTGAACGCGAGACGTAGCTTTCAGCAGTTAACGAAATTGCGCTGACTCAGGTCAGCTTCATGAGGAGATCAGCTGCTGTTTATGGAGAAGCATAACAAAAAGTTACCTGTATGAAAGCACAGTAATGTTGAAGCAAATGGTAACAACCAAAGCAACTAGCACGATGTGGAACCACTCGCTCTTTGGCAAATCACGTTCATCATCGCGAAGCATTCGCACAGATCCAGTTGTTCTCTGCAAGAGAGTAAAATAGGAGGAAATGACAATATTATGCGTTCACATTCCTTAAAATGCACAGTCCAGGCGGAAGTTCATTGTGTTGTTCCCATTGGCACGCCTCTCGTCCTAGAGTCCAGAACGGCGAATGACGAAGGCAGGAGGACGGGTCATAAGTTGAATGTACTGACACACCACTAGCGTTGGCTGTGCCATTAGAACCATTCACCTGTTACTACACGCAGGATATGTCTCGGTGCAATATGCCAAGGAAAACCGCTCCACCAAGTTGTGCCGCGTGACGTTCTGGCGCCTTAAAGCTACGCTACGCCAGGATACAGAGAAACAGACATAACTTGACTCAACCTCGCTCAGAAGTGGCACTCGCGGGCATATAGCTATACCATTTCAAGCCGAATGCATTGATCAAGCAGATAAAAGTGCGGATGCCGCTTTAGTCCACCCAAGAGCTCAAAAACTTGAACGAGATGTCAGGCTTTGCTGCCTGTAAAAGGTCAGGGCGTCTAAGCAGGGCGAAAGTATTGGATTGCTGCGCGTAAGCTTGTAGGTGGCAAATATTTATAGAAAAAGTGTAAGGTTCTAGATTCAGCGTGTCATGATGATCGAATGGTCAGAATATTCCAGTTTAGCCCTTGCAGCAGTAGTCATAAGGTAGAACCTCATTCTCAGGCAAACCTTACAATGCGATACGGGTGCTGTGTGCCTTGGGAGGAACCACTAGCGCTTCATATGTGTACCCCCTTTCTGAATGGACACGGCAGATAGTCTTCGCTCAAGTCAGGACATGTCACCTCTCTCCAAGACCCGCAGTGATGCGCAGCTTCGTTTGGCGGTCAAAAATGACCTGCTAGAGAGTGGTCCTCCAGGAAGTGATCACAAAGATGACATGCACATACGAGTGAATCATTATCCAGTGATAAACCGGGGTCGTAGCTAATCACTGCTACCACAGGTAACGAGGGATAGCAAACTAACTGCCATGGTCCGCAATAACTAGCCCTTCTAGTAAGCATGTGAGCGTACTTTCTTAACACAAACATGTCTGAAATTGGACTCCGATATCGCTAACAGCAACTCGCAGTTTGGCCTTACATTGTGCCCGCCCCCCCCCCCCCCCCGGCCGGCTCCTCCCCCCCCCTCATTAACCGGGGGGAGGGCGGGGGGGCGCGGGCCCCCGCTTGAACAGACTGCACTCTCTTTTCTTCCCGGTCGACATTATGTCGTTCCCTCCTGCTGAAACTCCTGGCAAAGGGAGCAAATGGCAGTTGCTCACTTTCCTGAATGCCTACTCAAAGGCATATTCCGCGATAAAATAAGGCTATGGACCTCTCAAAATGGGGCGCCCGCCCCCCCCGCCCCCCCGCCGCCCCCCCACCCCCCCCCGCCCCTCCGCACGCGCCCCTCCCGCACGCCCCCCGCCCCCCCCGACCCCGCCGGGAGCGACTCCGGAAGCGATTTTTTGAGGCTGCGCTTCCTTTTTAAAATTGATGAAAAACGGCAAGACATTCCGGCTAGAAGGCTGATCTAATTAGAGCCATGGACACCCCTTAGGCCCATGCCGACCCTCACCGGCTGCTAGCTACTAGCTAGTAACCACTATGTTATCTTTCTCTATAACATTTCGTACTGCTTTTTCTGCTGCTTTTTCTCCGCCTAATCAGATTACTTAGAACTTTTTAGCCTTTATGAAGTTTCCGTCTTCCCGCATTTGCGGTCACGAACTGTGCCTGCGGTCAGCGACTCAGATACACGCACTCATAAAGGAAGCACTTATTTGAAGGTGAGGTGAGAATTATGGAGATCAAAGTTTACCTGAAACAAGGTGACTCAGTGTAGCGGGCCCTTCAACGAACATCTGAGCTATGATGTTAGAAGTTTCTCACCTTTCCTGACATTATTTATGTCGGCTTATTGGGCGATTGAGCTTTGTACTGAAAACCTGAACACAATTATTAAAAATGGAGAGTTTCTTTATGAATTACTTGGCGCAAGAAGGACGAAGCCGATGCGTTCTTTTGTTTCTTAAACATCAACAACGGATATCGCACGTAGACTGCGGACATGGAAATTTGCTCACCGATGAACTAACTCTGATGGAAGAATGAATACGAATGAACCCCTCCCCTCAAGAATAGCAGTTAATAATCCAATCGTAAATAGACCACGATGGCATTATCATTAGTTACAAAGTAAATCCTTCCCAAATCAAACGATACTGCGGAATATAACATAGCTGATATCATCAATCATTTAGAGCGGTCACAAGAGGGATGGAATGAGCTCATTCGCAGCTTCCAGCACTGGTTATTTCTCCTGAGTCGACCGCTGACCGATCACCATTGGTAGACCGAAGCAGGCGGAATCGGGCCCATTCCGTCCCGTCTGACAGCGCCCCGGCTGACTGCGACATTACCAACCATAAACCATACACACAAGTCATCTGCATCACCTGCACTCCTTCTGATCAACGAGTTGCTTGAGCGGACGCCGAAACGTCTCCTTTCGTCCATGCAACGTGCTAAAGTTGTCCAGTAGGTTCTCTACGCTCTAAGGATACAGTGCGATACCATACCTTTCTTTATGAGTACACACGAAGAAATCTGAATAAAAATACCTTGGAGCTCAAACCGCTCTCAGTGTTAGCTATAGAAACTTTTGTCTATGGTTTACCGGAGAAAATGCCCACAATGGGAAGAAATTTTCCAATGAAACTAGGGACATCATGCGCCGTATGTTAGCCCTTTTCGTTGGGATTTTTAATGTTCATCGCTCC